CATCACTTTGCTTAACTCTGCTTAACTCCCTCCCAGAACAAAAGACAATAATGCTTCCTTAATGCTGACTGCATGTATTTGGAATTGGCCTGAAATATTTACACAATCTTTACGTTTGCCAGTCTAATAAGAGATTGATGAGCAAATTAAGAGCAAAAAGGAGACCATTAGAAAAGTGTTTGTCTTGTTCAAGAGAACAAACATCTAGAATTTTGGAGCTCACTGCACAGTCAAACCAGCAAGATAAATTCTCATTATAAGTCATTCTTATCTATTTTGTAAGGCAGGCTTGGCAGGGCTTCTATTTGGAAAAAAATAGTCAAACTTGTTCAAAATGCTGTTTGTAATTTAATGAAGTGGAATTTATTTTAAAAGAAGCTGCTATTCTGGACAGCGTGTTCAACAATTCAATGAGTCCCTCATATATAAATAATAAATATTATAACTATATTAGTAAGGTTTATAGTATTAAATATCTTCATCTTTAAACACTAGTCTCAGCAGGCACAAGCCTCAGACTTTTCTATCCAGGCTGTTCCAGCATTTGCCTCTAAGAATTGGGAGGCGTTTCATGTTTTTCCACGCAAAATAAATTGCTGCTCTGTAGAAGAGTAAGTATTGCTTTATTTTCCTTAAGACGCCCTGGTGGCATAGGGGTTACTCGTTGTTAGGCTGCAATCTGCAAGGTCAGCAGTGTGGAAGCACCCGCAGCTCCTTGAGAGAAAGTCGGGCCTTCCTACTTCGGTAAAGGGTTACAGGGCCAGGAACGCCCAGGAGCAGGTCTCCCTGTCTTGTAGGGTCACTATCAGTCAGCAGTGAGTCAACAGCAGTGAGAGAGTTACTTTGCTTACTTACGATCCCATTAAGAAGCTACTAAAGTCATCTATTTAAACTCCCACTATACATTAAAATCCTGGATCTTTGGGGCTCAACCTTCCAATAATTGTAAATACTCTAGGAATTTTTTTTAATTCGATAGTACTTTAGTCTAAATCGGCAAAACGTGATGTAGTGGAGTTCTGTGTTGAGCTACTAAACACAAGGTCAACAGCTTCAAACCACCAGCCACTCATTCTATGGGAGAACGAGAATGTTTTCTTCTTCCATGAAGAGTTACAGCTTCAGAAAGTCACCAGGGCAGGCCTGCTCTGTCCTCTGAGGTCTCTGTGAGTTTCAATGGACTCAATGTCAGAGAGTTTGGTTTCTGACTTGAATAGCTTAGGCTGTATCAGCAACATAGACACTCCCCCAAATTGCTCTTACCAAATAAAAATGTTTCTGCTACACTCGTTCACTGTATTTATCTAGAATACGGTAAAAGGAAAAGGGATGGTGGTCAGGGGAGTAAGAGAAGGGTGGAAAATGAGGAAGGATGTAGAAAGACAAGACAAACGTCAGATGTTCGCTTGACCAAAATTATATCCAACACAGGCCCAGACCACTGAGGTCATCATTATGTTAAAAGTATTCCTGGTACTTGACCACCAAGATGACAGAAACTTTAGATTCCATAAAAGCTATTTTCTTTAGATACCAAGACAGATATTATCCAGAAATGAAGGCTGAAGGGTTCTGCTTCTTTTCAGTCATGGTCTTTACCCCCTGCCATTGGAATACCTGGTCTCCTTAGTGACTAGTTCATGGCATTTCCACATCAGAGATGCAGATCTGTGTTTCCCAAATGCAAGAGGACTGTATTAACCACCAGGAAGTGATAAACATAGGGGTTCGCAGTTGCACCCAGATCTAATGAACCAGACCCTATAGAGTAGAATCTGAATTTTCTAACTCATGGCCAATTCAACCTGTTGCTTTTTGCCTTTTTTCAAGCACCATTCTACAGGCACTTGACTCAACTGAACCAGCAGCTAGTCTGCTAAAGGATGGATTGCTTACAAAAACAGGACTGGTGTTGTTGTTAGGTGCCATTGAGCCAATTCCAACCCATATGCACAGCAGAACAGGGCACTGCACGGTCCCCCGCCATCCTTACAATGATCCATCCCTATGCCTGAGTTCATCGTGGCAGCCCCAGTGGCAATTCATCTCGTCCAAGGCCTTCCTCTTTTTAGCAGCTCTTCCACTTTACCAAGTATGATGTCGTTTTCTCCAGGACTGGACTCTCCTGATAGTATGTCCAAAGTATGTAAGACAAAGTCTTGCCACGCTTGCTTCGGTAAGGAGCACTCTGGCTATTCTTCCAAGACAGATCTGTTGGTTATTTTACCAGCTCAATATTCTTCTCCAGCAATTCAAATGCACGGGACTCCTAAATGTTAAATTGAAAAAAAGGGCTAAACTGCAATAAGGCAAGGGAGCAGGCAGACGATAGCAATAGCTATGGCAAATCTTTATGTCAGCTCAAATATTCAACCAGCACACGTTATGAAAAAACAGAAAGTGAAATAAAATGCAAAGCCATGGTTATATAATCTCTTTAACAGAATCTGGGGATTATCTATATATGCCAAATATTCACATCACCCTAGGATTTAGGATTTAATAGTCACGCAAAACATGGCACGATTCCCTAGGTACGTTTCTATGCTTTGGTTAGTTCAGAATGAAGAACAACGAACGCCCCAAACTCCCTCCTCTATCACACTCAGGGGCCATGAGGATGGCCACATCAAACTGAAGAGCAGATAATCGCCCTCTGGAATTCCTCCTGCAATTTTTATTTTTCTTTTACCTAATACAACTTATGTTTTTAAAATTATGTTTTTAAAATTAAATATACACATATATGTATATTAGAAAGCAGGTTTGCTAGCCAAGACCTGATTCAGCAGTGTGTGTGAAAGTAATGAGAGCAACTCAAATACATTCTGCACAGTAATTCCCTTCGAGGCAAACCCTTGACTCTCTTTCTCTCTTCTGTATACTGTTTCTCTCTCGGCACATTCTGCTCATCGTATCATGCTGTGTATATTCATAGCACTTCATAAATAAAAATAATAAAATTACGTCTGTAGAACTTGGCCTGAAGGGATCGATTCTTAGGCACAATTCCAAAGGTTAACTTTAACTATAATGACATTGTGCACAAGGCACTGATGAAATAGTCTTACCCATAGAAAAATATATAATCCAAATGAGGAATACTTGTATAGTTGGCCGTTGTGAAAAGGTTAAATTGCCAATAACCAGAGACTAATCCAAAAGCATTAACCTAATCTATTTCACGGGAAAGCCATATTCCTCTCTATTTTATCTAAAATCTCTACAGTTTCAACTACATTTGAATTTAAAAAATAATCAATCCTCAATTTTTTATAATAGCAGGGGGAGGTTGTAGCATGGGTAATACAAGAGAACAAGCCATCCAAAATTATGTGGAGCTGTTTCAATATTCATGTTTCCCTGGGGGCTTTCTTCAAGAAGTGATTAAATTATATTTTATGAAGCTGATACTGAAGTCTGTGCTCACTCTTGAAGTAAAAGTAACTGACACTCGGGAAAAAGAGCATATTTTATGCTCAAGTAGCAGGTCAGGGATTTTTCAAATGGTCCCTGACAGCCAAACAGATCGTGGTATTTCCTTCTTCTAGATAATGAGCACAAAACCTCCTATACGTACCACAAGGATTACTGAAGAAAGTCAATTAAGAATATATTCCATCAAGTCTATTGCAATTCATAACAACCCTATGGGACAAAATAGAACTGCCCCTTTGGTTTCCAAGATTGTAACTCCTACATGAATCAAGAGCCTCATCTTTCTTCTCTGGAGAGGCTGTGTATTTGAACTACTGACCTTGTCGTTAGCAGCTCAACGTGGTGTAACCCACTACACCACCAGAGTCCCTTTAGGAATATATGCTGCTACAGTTAGCAAACGCAAGACGGTACAAAGATATGGGATTACACTTGGAAATTCAGCATGTCCTCTTGTGACTGTTTAGTACATAAGCTTTCCAAATTCCTTGGCATCGTGACCACGAATAAAGTGGCAAGATCAGCATTTTTGTTGGAATTCCCGTCAGCGAAGCTGAGCTAACAATACTGACAAGAGTCGAAACAAATGTTAAATAACTTTCATCCCAATGGATGAGTAACTCTCATAACATTAAATCAAGAAAAGGGCCATCTGAACTAAAATGAGAAACGGATATTGAGAAAGCTTGCAGTGTTTAGTATCGTTGAGCAAGCACAACCATACGGGAAAAGGACAGCAAATATGTAACTAGATAGCAACAGTAACAAAATAGCTGACCACAACGGATAATGCTCAGCTTGTACAATCAATTACATTTCCAATGGCTTGTTGTTAGTTGTTATTTTCTGATGTCTCTATGCATCTGCGCTGTGATTCGTGAAATACATGCAACAGATTTTGTTGAGATTACGGTCATATTTTAAAAAGGATAATTACCCATAAGAATATATATTGGTAGCTCACATTTGAAAGTACTCTGCAACCTGGGAAGAACACTAAGGGTGTCTAGATGTCCACGTCTGACTATCGATGCACAGGTAGCTCGCCCCAGAAGCAAACAAAGATAGGGGCAGACAAGGAAAACAGCGCGAAACAGAATCTAGCGGGTTCTTTGCTCCGTGACAGATGAAGACGAGAAAATGAACTCTGGAAGGAACTAGAAGTCATCACAAGGAGGGGGGAAGTGTAGGGAGAGAGGGAACATGGGGAGACTGCTGTTAAATCTGCATGGTACCTCAAAATGAATCCCAAAGTAGAAACAATGGCAAATGATGTACTGTCACATGTGGATAGCTACCATGACCCACAGCCACCTTTGAAATCACAGGTTGCTATGGTATTCGTTATAGAAAACTTATAATATTAACCTTTAAAAATATTTTTGTATTGTTGACAAAACAGACATTTCATGGTGAGAATTCTCCTGCATGATGGCCATGTGACCAGGATACTGGAACAAGTATGATAAAAACAAAGGTTGCTGTTTCTCCTTGGCAACTCGCAGTACCTTCCAGAAGTTCCCTGCATCAAAAGCACCCATTTCTCCTCCTTCCCAAGTTACCTTTCTTAGATTTGGCACCAATCTTCAGTTTTGATGGCCAAGCAATCTGTGTGTTTGTTTCCTCCATAATCTGTAACAAAGATTGAGAAAGAGATAAATATTGACTTGATTAAAAACATGTATTTAGAGATAAGATTTTTTTTTTTTGGCAATAAAATTTTTCTTTCAAGTTTCTGGTCTCACATTTGCACAACAAGATGATCTCATTGTAAAACAATGCCAACAATATTGGAGGGGGAGAGAGTATTTTTATAAGCCTCTAGTCTTTTAGAAATATTTAAGTATCTTTTATTACTCCCAGAGTTCCTGTCTGTAATGCTCCAGAACTTTAGTACGGAGACAACACGACCAAAAAGTGCATGACCAAGCAATTATAACAACTCCATGAGAAAACTTTCAGAGACTCTTCCACTGAATAAAATTCCCTAAGACAACTGCCAGCACATTGCAACACATCAACCAAGAGCCTTGTAATACAAAATTATGTAAGTTAGGCCTAACTAAATGAAAAGTTTTTGGAGTTTCTTTTTTGTTTTGTTGGTTTGGGGTTAGTTTTTTGTTTGTTTTTGTTTTGTTTTGTTTTGTTTTTCTCCCTCTGGGAAGAAAATACTGGCTTAGGAGACATTTGTATTTCACTAAAATTGATGAAAAGCCTCGAACATGGTATCATGTAATAAAGCTGCATCCCGTCACCCTTTGCTGGGCTGAAAATGCCCGTTAGGCCACCGTTCTTTTTCACTCCCACATGCACCTAACAGTGACCAGGAAGACTTGAACTCAAAGTGCCCTGCGTACAAAAACCAGTGAGGGAAGCAACGAAAGCAAAATAAAAGGGGCGGACAGTTCACAGTAACGAAAAACACTGCCCACGTTCTCTATTACATGATGTGTTTACTTTTATGTTTCAGTTCATGTCCAGTGTTTACTTTTGTACACTGGTAGATAGGAACCGGAAACACAGGGGATCCAGGACAGATGATCCCTTCAGGACCAGTACTGAGAATGGTGATACCGGGAGGTGGAGGGAAGGTGGAGTGGAAAGGGGGAACCGATTACAAAGATCTACATATAACCTCCTCCCTGGGGGACAGAAAAGTGGGTGAAGGGAGACGTCAGACAGTGTAAGATGTGACAAAATAATAATTTATAAATTATCACGGGTTCATGGGGGAAGGGGGGACGAGGACGAGGGGGGAAATGAGTAGCTGATATCAAGGGCTCAAGTAGAAAGCAAATGTTTTGAGAATGATGATGGCAACAAATGTACAAATTTGCTTAACACAAAAGACAGATATATGGATTTTGATAAGAGTTGTAGCAGCCCCAAATAAAATGATTACATTTCAAAAAAATTTTAAATTAGAACTTAATAAATACATGTAACAGTTGTATTAGGCAGACAATATACATAAATATGACGAAGAAATTCTTTTTTGACTTTAAAAAACAAATCCTATTGGAAAATATACTGTAGCTTCTTTTTACACCTTTCTATATATCTAGGATTGCATTTAAATAGAAAAGTAAATAATACCATGTGGCAAATATGAAAAGGAAAAAGCTAATAGCACTATAAAACATGAGCTAATTTGTTAAAAATCTTTGTTCTCTGAGTCAATAAAATCTCCAAACCTTACCCAAAAAAAAGAATACAGAATTATTTCAGGCCTATAGTTTGGGAGACACTAAGGCTAACAAGCATAGATAAATGTTCTATATCCTACTTTGGCGAGTAGTGTCCATGGTCTTAAAAGCTTGTGAGCAGCCATCTAAGGTGCACAGAGAGCAAATAAAAATGAAGATGATCAACGACATCGGAAACAATCAGTCTGAAGAATGAATGGACCACAGGCACGCCAGCCTCCATGCCCCTGAGTCCAGGAGAACTAGATGGGGTCTGCCTCCCATGGCTGACTTCGCTGAAAGGGACACAACGGGAGGTGCTGGGTGAAGCAGGAGAAAAATACTGATCAAAACTCAAAATCATAAATAATAAATACAGTCCTTCAGTCCAAGGAAGAGTCGTGGGACCCCTGAGACAGTGACTGACCTTTCGATATCCTCAGGGCGGAAATGAAATTCACCCCCATGTCTCTCCAAAACAACAAAGCAAACTCCGTGCCATCGAGTCAATGCTGACTCAGTCTCTGTGGGTTTACAAAACCGTGACTACTTTTAGGGGAGGAGAGAGTCCAGTCTTTATCCCTCAGAGCAGCCCAACACATAACCCCTACCCACCAGGGCTGCCCCCCACCCCCACCTCCATCTCTTTTAGTCAAATGAGACCAGTGAAGGAGGCACTCCTTTGAACAAGCCACCATACAAGATCAGAAGGGCAGCATGTGCCCAAGGACGAAGCTCAGACGCGAGAAGAGATGGAAAAGACGGACGAAGGAACACCGCAAACACCCGGAGTAAGTGGCCAGAGTGTTGTCACTCTGTAGCCATCACAATCAACGCGATCCATCAAGACACAAATAAAGTATGGCGTGGAAAGCCATTGTGCTTGGCACGCTTTTGCCCAACCACAGTAAAATGTGAAGTGAAAAAAGGCTAAAATACAGAAGTTAAATTAAATACTTAAAATAATCCACTAAACCAATTAATGGAGGAAACAACTAAAATCCATGGTAAATAAGCACAGCTACCCCATTCATTAATCACTTGAACTGGGGTGCATTTTTTTAAATCAGAATTTTGAAATAGTGATGAAACAACTAAATACTTAACAGTGCGATGAAGGCACAATGCCTTTCTCCCTCAGGATTGGCTGTGTGCTGGGCCTAAGGATACATGGTTAACAAGCATCATCCCTCACTTGATCCTCTTTATCAGGCTAAAGAGCCGTCAGCAGCTGTTTCACAATGGCAGGCCACAGATACTTTCACTCCCCATCAGGAGGTTTCTTAAAACAGAGCCAACATTTTCAAGTCTGGGGGTGTCACACAAAAATTCAGAGTCCAGACTCCTAAAAACTTGGCAGATTTCGCACGTGGAGCCCACATTCCCTCTTGGGAAGGCCTGGCTGGCACTGGTGAACAGCTGCCCCGTGGAGCCAGGCGGGCAGGCTCCAGGCTGTCCCTCAGCCCCGACTGTGTCTGACACGGATCCAGAGTCGCCTGCGATTATTATCACCACACTGGAACTGCTCACTTGCCATTCACCATGATGTCTGCATGGCTCTTGTCCTTGGGGAAAGATTTCTCCGTACCCAGGTGTCAATCAAAAACTGCAACTCAGAGTGAGGCCTGCTGTCATCACTAAGCCAAGGTCCTGGTGCCGTCTGTGAAGGTGGAAGAGTTGGTGACCATAGCCTACAGGCCCTGACCCCACCGCCTCTCCTCTCCCACCTTGTGGAACTCCCTGTCCGGCAACCCTACTGGCCTCCCCTTCAGACTCTGCAGCCCCTCTTCTCGCTTCCCCAGATCTCCCCCTCCTAGCTTTCTCCTGTGGTCGGGATTCTACAAAAATGGCACCTTCTATAAGTCACCTTCCTTTTTCACTCCGGTACAGAACTCCCCCTTGGGTTATTCTCTTCCGCACCAGTGCCCTTCTTTCCCTCCCAACCCTTATCGAAATTAAAAAATCTGTTCTGTGTTTTCCTGTTTATCATCTGTCTTGGGAAACAGGAAGCAAGTTCTCTGTGGACAAGAGCCACCTATTGCTCAGCACACATCAGGCAGTGGATAAATATGTGGCAAATGAATGCTCATCACACCCTTTTGAGACAGGTTTCCTTATTCACATCTGATAGCCATCTTATCAGAATTTCTACGTGGTGTCCAGGATTTTCCACATCCTCTCTCTAACCTTCATACCAAATCAGTACTGCACAGTGAGGAGGCTGGCCCCCACGATTCACTTTAATTTATCCATGGCTCACAGGGCAAAGAGGCAATCAATGCCTAATATCCCTAATTGTAAAATCCAAGTTCTACCTACTTTACCACATGATCTACAGAATTCTACGGGCCAAAGTAAATGCTTCACCTTTTGAAGAAAACAAATTCCCGGTCATTGGAATTTGGCACCTGTATTGGATCTTTCCTGTGCGACTAGACACCAAGTTGCTCCACTGAGAAGGGTTGTGGTCAATCAGGGTGAGCCACACCCCTCCCCGGGAAGCTCGCAATGAACGTATTTCTCTAGTTCCTTTATCTGTCCATCACGGGGTGCCATCTACGGAGCTGTGGTGGTGCAATGACTCCTTTGCCCACAAAGTACGGGGTCCAAACCCTCGAGCCGCTCTGCAAGACCACAATGAGGCTGTCTTTTCGCATCGAGATTCACCACCTGAGACCCAGGGAGACTCGCCCCGTGGGGTCAGGACGAGTCGGAAGTGACCTAGTGGCAGCGGGTGGGGTGAGTACGTCATCTGGAGTCAACCACCAGCTCCGTCACTTTCTAGTGGTGTAATGCTGAGCAAAGTATGTAACTTCCATCCGCCTCACTCTTCCCTATAAAATTAATGATAACCTCCACTCACAGGGTTTATAAGCATGTGACTAGAAAATACAGAGAAAGTCCAATGCACATGGCCTGGTGCATAGTGAGTGGTTGATAATGGTTTTATAGCATATTGGTTCAATCAGGCACTAGAGATCCAAGGACAAGAAATACAGCAGTAAACAAGGTAGCGTCAGCCCTCCCGCAGGTCAGAGTCTGACAAAGGACGCGGCACTAGAATCTAGATTTCTGTATTCAGAGAATTGGGCTGACTCACGCGTCATCGGGTCTTAAATGTCTTTTTGAGCCTTAACCCTATAAAGAACTATCTTCCTAGAGTCACGACAAATCAAACAATGGCCTAGTAAGCAACGGAGATGAAATCATTTTGACTTCGGCATTTAGATTCTTCTGGCAAACTATCTACCCAGCTTCAAGAAGCTGAAACTCCAGAGTCTGGCTAGTGACTGTTTTAGGATGTATGTGACTCTGTAACCTATCAACCAAAAATCCTACTCTTTCATGGGTGCTATCACCTGAGAATTAATATGGCAATGACCTATAGGGCCTCCCTATGTATCTACCACATAGACATATGTATTATGTTACATGTCTTTTCTGTTA